TTTCTCCTTCATACCTGAATGAGACTTGGGTTGGCAATAGAATCCTACACTGTGTATTATTCTGTCTCAAAATTGTGAAGGTGATTCTCCTTGGTCTAGCATCCAGCATTGCTCTTTAGAAGACCCATACCAGTCTGACTTGTAATCTCTCTCATTTTATTTCCCTCTGGAAGAGTTTGGGAGCTCTGAAGTTTCATGGCTTTGCGTTGGGTAGGCTATTTTTCACTTTTGCTGCACTCTTTCAGTAAGGAAACTCATGTCTTTTCATGTTTGGCATAAAGTATTCTTTTGGCATTTTACCTTCAATCATTTTCTCTCTGGAACTTATCATCTAAAAATTTTTTTTTTTAAGTTTTCCATTTATTTATTTTGAGATAGAGAGAGCGTAAGTGAGACAGGGGCAGAGAGAGAGGGAGAGAGAATTCCAAGCAGGGTCTGCACTGACTCAGCACAGAGGCAGATACTCGGCTTGTACTCATAAACTGTGATATCATGACCTGAGTGGAAATCAAGAGTCAGATGCTTAACCGACTGAGGCACACAGACACCCCTGGAACTCATCATTTTGATGCTAAATGTCTTAAATTGATCTTTTAGGTCTCTTATCTTTTTTTACTTTCATTTTTTTTTTAAAGAGAGAGAGTGAGCAAGCATGAGAGTGGTCGTAGAGGGTCAGAGGGACAGAAAGAATCCTGAGCAGGCTGCATCCTCACTGCAGAGCTGGATGCAGGGCTCAGTCTCATGACCATGAGATCATGACCTGAGCCGAAATCAAGAGTCAGACACTCAACCAACTGAGCCACCCAGGTACCTTTAAGTCTCTTATCTTTTATTCTATTTTTCTTATTATCTCTTTTCACAATGTTCTATGCTTGGTTCAGAGCTGCAACATTTTATTTTATCTCATATCAAGTTTTTATAACAGGCAGTTATAAAAGGCACTCCATAGATACTGGTTAAATAAATGGGCCTTTCTGGGGGTAAGATAATTATTTGGGGCTGTCTTCTGTTCCTGGTACTATGTTTGATTTCCAGATTCCCGTTTATTTGTTGATTTCATTTGATATCTTTCTTCACGTATGAAGTTGAGTCTGTTAGAATTGGGCTTGGCTGAAAGCAACAGAAAACCATCTATAGTGATTTAATTAAATAGGGGTTATTCTCTCATGCAAGACAGCCTACAGGCTTGCAACTTCTCCACAAAATGATCAAGCATCCAGGCTCCTTCTAAGTGCCTGCTCCACCCTGCTAGGCTGAAAGATGGCTGCATCATCCCCAGGTATCACATCCACATTCCAGAGAGAGGTAGAACAGAGGAAAGACAAAAAGGCAAAATCTGGATGTAGTTTAGTAAAGAGCTTTCCATGCAGGGAAATGTGCTGTTATATCTCATTTACTAAGTGCGAGCCACGTGACCGACGCTGCCCGCAGGAAGTCTGAGGAGCGAGTGTGGGCACATTGCAGCCCAGACAGAACCAGGGCTTACACTTATCAAAGAAGGGAGATTGGGTGGTAGCAACTGACAACATCCAGTGATTGTTCGTTGACTGTTTATATTTAGAAGTGAGACACTGGACGTCTGACTGTCCACGTGCAGGGTTGTCAGTGGAGTTTCCCTGTAGATCAGTTGGAGACCTGACAATTCTGACAAAGGCTGAAAAACATTAGCAGGTTGCTGTCTGTTTTCTAGTATCCTCAGGAATGGCTCTTATTCACAGAAAACACCATTTAGAGATTTGTTTTCATTTTTGTTAAGAAGAATCAATTTTTGAAAACTCATTCTTCTTAAACTTTTGACTTGTATTTACATATGTTATTATCCTATTTCTAAGTGTTATGGGTCTTAAAATCACCTCTAAGAAGTTTTTGAATGATGTTTGGTCCTGTTTATGAGCATCGTTCATTAGATACCTTCAAATATTTTTAAATGCATATAGAAATTAATACATTCAATTTTCTTTTTAAATTCTTTATTTTCCTGAATTAACAAACAATGCTTTCCTGAGCACATAAATAACTTTTATGTTTAAAGTATTAAATTTATAATTATGTTGAATCTAAAGTTATCTTATATGTTTAAATTCCCTTAAAATCACATATCTAAAACAAATATTTAACACACATTTCTTTCCCCTCCCTCCCTCCTTCCCTCTCTCTCTCCCAATCTTTCTTTTTTTCTTTATCTTCCTTTTCATTTTAATTCCAGGGTAGATAACATACTGTGTTCTATTAGTTTCAGGTGTACAATATAGTCACTCGGCAATTCTATACATTATGCAGTGCTCATCAAGATAAGTGTGCTTTCCAATCCCCATCACCTATATCACCCATCCCCCCACCCACATCCCCTCTGATAGCCATCAGTTTGTTCTCTATAGTTAAAAATTTGTTTTTTTGGTTTCTCTCTTTTTTCCCCCTTTGTTTGGTTTCTTAAATTCCACATATAAGTAATTTATATGGCATTTGTCTTTCTCTGACTGACTTACTTCACCTAACATCATGCTCTCTAGATTGATCCATGCTGTTGCAAATGGCAAGATTTCATTCTTTTTTTATATATAGTTGAATATATATCTGTATATAGATATATATCTCACATCTTCTTTATCCATTCGTCTTTTGATAGACATTTGGGTTGCTTCCAGAGTTTGACTATTATAAATAATGCTGCAAAAACATCAGGGTGCATATATCCTTTTGAACTGGTGTTTCATATTCTTTGGGTAAATAGTGAGTAGTGAAACTACTGGATCATATGGTAGGTCCATTTTTAATTTGGGGGGGAAACATTATACAATCCTTCTTAGTGTCTGCACCAGTTTGCATTTCCACCTACAGTGAATGAGAGTTCTTTTTCTCCACATCCTCTGTAACACTTGTGTTTTTGACTTGAGTCATTCTGACAGGTGTGAGGTGATATCTCATTGTGGCTTTGATTTGCATCTCCCTGATGATGAGTCATGCTGAACATCTTTTCATGTGCCTGTTTGCCATCTGGATGTCTTTTTTGGAGAAATACCTGTACGTGTCTTCTGCTCATTTTTTAATTGGCTTATTTGTGGTCTTTGGGTGTTGAGTTGTATAAGTTCTTTATATGGTTTGGATACTAACCCTTTATCAGATGTATCATTTGCAAATATTTTCTTCTATTCAGTAGGTTGTCTTTTAGTTTTGTTGATAGTGTCCTTTGCTGCACAGAAGCTTTTTATTTTGATATAGTCTCAGTGGTTTATATTTGCTTCTGTTTCCCTTGCCTTAGGGAAAATACCTAGAAAAATGTTGCTACGGCCAATGTCAGAGACATAACTGCCTGTGTCTTCTTCCATAATTTTTACTGTTTCAGGTTTGGTTCTTAACCCATTTTGAGTTTATTTTTGTGTATGGTGAAAGAAAGTGGTCCAGTTTTATTCTTTTGCATGTCCAGTTTTGCCAACACCATTTGTTGAAGAGACTGTCTTTTTCCCATGACATATTCTTGCCTCCTTCATCAAAGATTAATTAGCCATACAATTGTGGGCTTATTTCTGGACATTCTATTCAGTTCCATTGATCTGTGTGTCTATTTTTAATGCCAGCACCATACTGTTTTGATCACTATAGCTTTGTAATGTGACTTAAAGTCTGGAATTGTAATACCTCCAGCTTTGTTTTTCTTTTTCAAGATTGCTTTAGCTATTCGAGGTCTTTTGTGGTCTCATACAAATTTTAGGATTGTTTCTTCTAGCTCTGTGAAAAATGCTGGTGGTTACTTTGATAGAGGTTGCATCAGATCTTTAGATTGCTTTGGGTCATATGGACATTTTAACAATATTTGTTTTTCCAATCCATGAGCAGAGGATGTCTTTACATTTGTTTGTGTCATCTTCAATTTCTTTCATCAGTGTTTTATAGTTTTTAGAGTTCAATTTGTCACCTCCTTGTTAAGTTTATCACTAGATATTTTACTGGTTTTGGTATCATTGTAAATGGGATTGTTTTTCTAATTTCACTTTCTGCTGCTTCATCTTTAGTGTATAGAAATGCAATGGATTTCTGTATATTGGTTTGTATCTGCACCTTCACTGAATTCATTTATCAGTTCTAGTAGTTTTTTAGTAGAATCTTTAAGGTTTTTGTATATACAATATCATGTCATCTGCAAATAGTGAAAGCTTTACTTTTTCCTTCCATATTGGATGACTTTTACTCCTTTTTGTTATCTGTTTGCTGTGGCTAGGACTTCCAGTACTGAGTTGAATAAAAGTGGTAAGAGTAGGCATCCTTTAATACACATTTTAAATTCGAGTTCAAGGTTTTCATTTGTAATTAGCCAAATTCTAACATTAAAAATACATAACATATTCCTTCTTAACCAAATTCTAACATTACAAATACAAAATATTCCTTCTTAACCAAAAATATCAATACAAAGATTTTTACTCTCTGAAGTCTTTCCATCCTCAATTCTAAATCTTATTGTGGCTTAAAGATGTCTAACCACTAAAAGTTCAGCTCTGCTCCTAGGTAACCAGGGTTATTTCCTGTTAGAGATTTTTCCAGGACTTGATACCTGGAGCTTCAGAAACTAGAATGATTCCTTTACCCACCCAATCTGTCACATTGAGCCCCTCTTTAGTAGGTTGAACCATATGAAAACAGCATTTTTATAGCATTGCAGATATGTGAATATTGGTTCAACTTAGTGGAGACATTTATATTATGGGTTGTAAAACACAGGGAAGCAATATTCTTATAGTCCTTTCTGCTTAATTCTCCAGGCCACACATTTCTTATATATATCTCAAATGACATTTGAGTGATCTTGAGCTATCTCCATGAAGTCATTTTTAGGATGTCATCCTCCCTTCATCTTCCCTTGACCCAGGGTCAAATAGTATCTTCTAAATTTGGTATGTGTTCAAGTCTGCATACTCTACTGGTACACTGAACAAATCAATAATAGCCATAGGATAGCAGCATAAGTAATGAGACCCAACAGCAATACATTCTATCCCACTTACCTTCACATTAACTTCTCCGTCTGGGGATATTTATCCTCCCCAGAGGTTACTGCTCCAGTCCCTCTTGGGGAGTCCATGCTTGAACCCCAGCCTCCTGAGGAAGGCTGTGGGGGAGGTCCTTGTGTGCAGGCTGCAAACTTTCACTTAGTTCCTCTAATTAAGCTTCAGGCATTACGTCCCACTCCCCACTGTCTCTGCTGTCTTCTGCATTATAAGATTTTGCAAGTCAAGCTCCCCGGGCGTCCTCCTGACACTGGGATGGAAGAGAGTACAGCTGAGGTGCAGATGGTTTTAACCAGTCTGCCCGGTTCCAGCGCCCAGCGCCGCCCCGCCCATTGCTGTCTCTGGTGCCTTTGAGTCCTGTTCTGCAGGGTCAATTGGCTCTCACATGCTCCACCCCCTTTTTCATTGCCAAACATCTACTGAAACCTCTGATCTGCCGCTGTTTCTTCTACTGTCTTTTGGACCTTGTGGGAGTTTTCCTTTGTAAAATTCATTTACAACCTTTCAAATGGGGTCACAGGAAAGAGAAATGTAAATGTGTGGTCAACTTTAACTGCAAGCCATCCATTTAGATTTTACTCGCTGCATTAGAAGTGAGAAGCCCACTGCTATTTCTAGTCGTTTGCAGATCTTGGATCTCATGTGATTTTCATCTGGTTTGCATTCTCCTGTCATGAATTCTTCTTAGACAGGACACCTGGGTAGTGTACTCTCTGAGACTTTGAGTGTTTCAAAATGTTTTTCTTTTGCCCTGACATAGTAATGCTATCTTGAATGTGTGTAGCTTTTATATTAGTGTCCTTTTCTCTCAGTGGGGTTCCTTTCAGACGTAGAAATATAGCTATGATTCCCAGGGCTACAAGTGAGGAGTCCACTCCTAATCTGATTCTCTTTTTTATTTTTTAAGGAAGTGTGAAAGATCTGTTGTCCTTAGGATGGATACATTTAGGCAGGTAGGGCTATTTTTTTGTTGTTGTTTATACTGGTTTTGATATAAATTTTTACTAATTTTGCTTTTCATTCAGTAAGTGTTTAAAATCTGAAGATCAAGTCAACTCAGAGAAGTTTTCTTCTATTATTTCCCTAATTATTATTACTTTCCCTCCACATTGCTTCACATCTCCTATTATGTAAATGTTAGATTTCCTGTATTAGGTTAGACACCCTCCTGGTATCTCACATTTTTATTTCCTCACTCCATTTCCCTTGTATTATTGCTCAGCGTGGTAAGATTATTTCTTCCTTTGGATCTTCAAAACCAGTGTTAGACAATTCTCGGGGCTGGTGGTGTGGTCTCCATAACAAAATACCAGACTGAGTGACTTACGCAACAGATACTTATTTTCTCACAGTTCTGGAGGTTAGAAGTCCAAGATGAAAGTGCCAGCAGAGTTGGTTTCTGGTGAGATCTCTCTCCTCAGCTTGCAGATGACACCTTCTCACTGTGTCCTTGGATGGTCCCTTTTCTGTGTGTGTCTAGAAAGAGCTCTCTGGGGCCTATTTCTCTTCTTACAAAGACATCAGTCCATTAGAATTAGGACTCTGTCCTTTTATGACAGAGTCACTTAAATACAATCACCTCCATAAAGGCCCTGCCTCCAAATATAGTCACATTGAGAGCTGAACTTCAACATAGGAACTTTGGGGGCACACAAAACCGTCTACAACCAGTGCTTATCATTTAGTTTCCTTATGAAAGTCTTAAAATAAAGAAATTTAAAGAGATATTAAAGAAATCATGTCTTTCCGTTTCAGACCTTTGGGATTTTATAAGTTTATCTCTTTGAGAGGCCTCACCACTTTTTAGATAAAATTAAGTTCCCCTTGGATCTTAAAAGTTTAGTTTGATTCAATAGGAACCACCTGTTGGTGATGGTCAACTTAGTGTCCCTTCCTTGAGTTCTGGAGTCCTCTATGGTTGAGCATTATCTGTTTGCTGCCCTTGCATGTGAGTCCCATAAGCTGCCATCCAAGGTCAGGCTGAAGGCCCACAGGAGGTGGAAGACCACACAGTCATTCCAGTGGCTCAATAGGAAATGAGCTAGCAGAATGTCAGCAGTTTGCCACCATGCCGAGAAACATCTCTCTGTTCCCTGATTTCTTCTAGGACCAGCAGGTCGACAAAGTCTTTTCACATCTCAAAGCCTAGGAGAACTTCAGCCCACTGGTGCAGCCCCCGCCCCAGGTGCCTCAGGATGCACAAGACTCTATGCCCACCATTAAGGGGCCTAGGCTCTTGGGAGAGTTGATAGATGTGCTGGCAGGAGACGGGTAACAACTCAAGTCCAGCATGGCTCTTGCTCACTCCCCCAACAGAAAGTCTCCTCCTTCAGGGACAACTGCCCACTCTCATGGCCCATGTCTAAGCTCTGTTCCCTGCTCATCCTCTGCCCTCTCTTCTCCACATATGCAGCGTCATCTGTCACTTCTACAGTAAACCTTGAAGAGCTATTAAAACTACATCTCAAGTCATTAGCAAACAAAAATAATTGTCTCCCTTCCTAGAAGACAGGAAGGGCTCTATCATCAAACACTCCACTGAGGTGAAAAGAAATAGATTGCTTGATGGCTTCTAGCATAGACTATGAATTTCAGAATATAGATTCACATTCCTAATAGGAGGGGGGAAGAAAAGAAACATTAGACTTTCCTTATTAGAAATATTAAAGATGCATGACCTGATGCAATTCCCATACCCCTAGCCTACTCTTGGGATGTCTCCTCCATCAGCCCTGTGGCCGGGCCTGAGACCACAGCCCCAGAAAACTCACCACATAGCTGTAGGGTCTCTGTTCCCACATGTCAAAACTCACGGCTGTAGAATGGCACGGAGAGGGGCAGGCTTCCCTCAGTGCACAAGACATACCGTACACTGCGTGTGAATGAGTATAGCATCTGTGTGTTTAAATTGCTCTACGTGTCTGTGCGCACCTTCCTAAAGAATTTTGGAAGCCCTTCAATGTGGATGCATTGTTGGGGCACCTGGGTGGCTCAGTCAGTTGTAAGCGTCCGACTTCGGCTCAGGTCATGATCTCATGGTTCATGGGTTTGAGCCCCATGTTGGGGTCTGTGCTGACAGCCAGCTCAGAGCCTGGAGCCTGTTTCAGATTCTGTCTCTCCATCTCTCTCTGACCCTCCCAGGCTCACGCTGTCTCTCTCTCTTTCTCTCAGAAATAAATAAAACATTAAAAAAAACCCCAAAAAACCAAAGTGGATACATTGTTGCTACCACCGCGTGCCCCCCAATATGGCCTGCATGATGTAGTGACCAGTAAGTATTTTCTAAAATGAGTAAAAGTCAATAGAATTGGAGCAAAAATAATGTGATAGCATATAGCTGAAAAGTAAGGAGAGAGCATAAGGCCAAAATTTTAAAATCCTAAAGATTGGGGGAACTAGAAAGGATCATTATGGTAAAATCATTGTTTTTCAAAAATTTGTTCATTTTTTAACAAAAATTTGTTATTTATGAGAGAGAGAGAGACAACACAAGTGGCCGAGGGGCAAAGAGAGAGGGAGACACAGAATTTCAAGCATCTCTGTGCTGCCAGCAACAGAGCCTGCCATGGGGCGTGAACTCACGGAACTGCAAGATCATGACCTGAGTAGAAACCAAAAGCCAGACACTAAACCACCCAAGCCACCCAGGCGCCCCTAAAATCACCTTTCTCACATGAATCTTCAGCTGCAGCGTGCTGTGAGGAGTGATGGCCCATACTGGACGTGAATATGATGACCTTCTCCAGGCTGCTCATAGATAGGGGCACGGACTTGAAATCTCTGACACACCCAGAATTGTTCAAGTGTGACCAACCAAGCCTGCAAGACAAGAGGAGCATTTGTGTCTACGGAATACTGTACAAATAGGCATGGGGCGCCTCGGTGGCTTAGTCGGTTAAGCGTCCGACTTTCGCTTAAGTCATGATCTCGCGGTTCGTGGGTTTGAGCCCCGCGTCGGGCTCTGTGCTGACTGCCAGCTCAGAGCCTGGAGCCTGTTTCAGTTTGTGACTCTCTCTCTCTCTGACCCTCCCCTGCTCACGCTGTCCCTCTCTCTCTCCCTCTCTCCTAGAAATAAATAAAACATTAAAAAAATAAAATCTTAAAAAAAGAAAAACAAAAAAAAACAAAGAGGCACCCAATAAACGTAGCCAACAAAAACATTTGCATTTCTCACATTGTGAGATTCTGATCAGAAAACACAAGTGCTCGGGAAACTGGGATGTAGTCCCCACTTCCCAGTGTTAAAGTGACTGTTGTCCTCACTTTGCCATATTCTGATGGGAGAGACAGAGACACCTCAAGAGCACCTGGGACGAACGTGGGGTTGTGTTTCATGTTCACTGTCTTTCCTTGGTCCTGGCAACACTCTGGAATCTGAAAATAAACCAGTGCCCAGGCCTCACCCCGACAAAGTCTGGTTTGGGGACTGAACATTGATGGGTTTTAACCTTCCTGGCTAAATGCAGGTGAATGTAACATGTGGTCAAGGTCAAGAACCACTAGTTGATGAGTTGTCATTATTGACCCACTTCCAGATTGCAGATCGGAGGGAGTTCAAGGAGCCTCCAAGGAAACAGAGGAATGAGACAGACAAAATAAAGTACTGTGGAATATGAGATCAGTGATGTTTAGAGCAAACATGAAAAATGGTCTTCTGAGGTTCAGAAATGCCCTTTGGGGTTAGAGTTGGGATCAATCCCAGTATTTCTACTTAGCAAAAATAGCAGCCTGGAATTTCTGCTTTGCTGTCCCTTCAAGGCCCTCTCTCCCACCCCCAATCCAGTCCTAGGAGCCAACACTGCAGAAAATCACATCCGAGAGGTGGAAGCCATGCTTGGGAAGTGCTTTCAAAACACAGAGGTGAGGGAAGAGATGAAAATGATAAGAGAGATGGTCGCTATCCAGGATACAGAACTGAAACCCAAGGTCAGAATTATTGCTTTCCCTGGGGCAGAAAACCAAGGCAAAAATTAAGCTCATAACTGATGACAACCTTCCTGATTTCTCTTGATGTGAACACAGAGATTGAAAGAGCCTCCCATGCCAACATTCTAAATAAATGAAAAAATAAATGAGAAGGGATCCATACCAATATGTGTTCTGTCAGTTTTATTGAGTTACCCTGACGATGAAAAAAAGTCCACCAAGCACCTGCCTACACACAAAATACAGGCCGTTCAATCTCCACTTCATTTCAGAGCTCACCTGTAATGCTCAACAGCTCATTCACACTAAACTTGCTGCCTCCGACACAGCATCTGTTTGCACACCTCTGTACCCCAGGGAATTCAGCTATCTCAGCTTAGG